GTCACTATATAAGCAAAAATCAATGACGACCAAGAAAATGAGTCAGACAAAGAAGTCAAAATGAGTGGACAAAAAATGAAAAACACTATATTCGTAGGATGCAAAAGTGCAAGTTACAAGTGACGCGTAGAAGTCAGGCGCTACAACGATCGCGTGATTGTACCAAATAGAGCGAGATCTCTAAAAGCCGATTTGATCAATATCGATATCCTCGTGAAGGGAAACGAGTTGTGCCAAATCCAGCTTTGGCTTGCCACCCGCATAGGGATCAAATGAAGCGCGGTAAGCAACGTGATGGCGATTAGCAAAAGATGACAAAATCGGTCCATATTCAACAGCCTGTCCAATGTAACACAAACGAACTCGTAGCCAATCGGCGCTCCCAATGGGTGCGAGAGGTGCTTCGAAAGCTCCGATGGACCGACGAAGAGGTCTTCTAACGCAGCGAAGTTGCAATGATGGAGTATAGAGGACGCCTCAATCTAGAGACCGTTTGAGAAGATGGTCACCTTAATTCGCACAGAACGCAACACCGCCATGGCTACCAGCGGATAAGATCAGTCCAGTTCATCGACTATGACCATTGCACGAAAGTAGATCCGAATGCTTTGACTCACGTCCTCGAAGTAATACTACTGATAATGATGCACTGGATGGGTCGTTTCGAAGCCCTCGTTGTGTGTATGGACCTCGAGGCACAAGCTCAATGTGGTTAGTGATTCAGGTTAGCGTCACTCGGTGGCTAAAGGCCATAAGTTTCGGTTGACATCCCAAAGGTAATGCTCTGAGCTACAGTTTTGCCATCTCTACGCGGGGAGTACGGACGATTGCGAAACCGGTCACGCAGTGCAGTGTCGCTAGCCGTCAGCAGCTAACATGCACCAGTTCCACGTAGGATCTCAATGATCAGACTGATCGAGAATAAAATGGCTTCTATTGCGAGGTGAGCAAAAAAAAGAAATCACAAGAACGCAGACATGGGCATCCTGCGTCCGGTCAAAAAAGCGACCATAGAGATAGAATACAGCCAGTGACAAAAATCAAGAAAAATGTTTATGCCTGAAATAGAATTGCAGTCACTGGGAGATTTAACTGTCTTGAATAAGCTATTTGACTGGGTCGGTACGCAGTACCGACGCTTAGCTACTGCGCAACCACCACTAGTCGAACATGGGTTAAGAAGCCTGGGAGAGTCACCCGGTACCTACAGAAGCTCGAATCCGATCCTTCGGATTACAAGGCAGGTTTGTGATCCTCAAGACCACGGGCCCGTAACCTGATGACTGGCCCATTTCGCGAACTTGCGTCATGAGCAAAATAGTGCGAAAAATAACAAACCAGTTCTAGAGGTTCTTCGGACGTCAATGCAAACCACATTAAGTACCGAGTCGGACACGATTTGGAAGATGATGATATCGGTTTAGCAGAGTACATTTAGGTGTGTTCAGATAGTTGCGAATTGACATATAGAAAGAAGACAACACTAGGCGATTAAGGGCGTTGTAAGCCCTTGGTTTCATCTACCCTGTTTAGTAACACTAGAGGCACCATGGATCAATACTAATCATGACGACGGCAATAATTTTTAAAGGACAGAATCTTCCGATCCGGAAGATTGGCAATGAACAGCTCATAAAAATCGGACTCCCATGTAAGACCGCAAGTTGTAAGAAAGAGACTGGATGACTACGAAATGAGATCTGGGAAGGCTCCATTTGATCTGAGAAGGCAGTCACGAACCCACTCTAGAAGTAAGATGTGTGAAGTTCACTATTTGGTCTTGGAGAATGAAGCATCACAGTGGGTGTGAAGAAGCATAGTCAACCAGTGGGAACAGCAGCACAATTCATGCGCGGTGGAAGCGTTTGTAAGGGGCAATCCCTAGTATCGAGTTGGTAAGGTGACGTGAAACTATAAAGTTCCATCAAGCCAATCCCTTATCCAAAAGTGGGCCATTTGAGGAGCACTAAGAAGCTAATATGACCAGAATAACTCCGACGATCTTTCAATGAGCACATGCCCAACTGACGGTTAATTCGTAGAAGAGTCAACAGACAAGGGCGTTTGTATCGGTTGGTAAGGTTAGGTGACAAAATTCAGGTAGTTACTCAAACGTCCATAACTGCAACAGTTTTTGTTGCGCTTCTTTGGTTACATTTGTATCAACGCATCTCTTCGCAAGTCTCACTGACGGTTTCTAGCTGAAAATCAAAGCAACACCCTGCAGCGAGGTTTTTACTTCCCACGCATTGTGTATCAGATTGGTTCTAAACTTTCCCGATGTGTAGTCACTATTCGCAGTCGTGCGTTTCGGTGCTCTGGTCGGATTCGATAGCCACGCGTCTGTCAACCACCCTTTCATAGAAAAAGTGTAGTTTCCTACACAAATATCCTTGTTCCTACTCATCTTATTGTTCACACGACCGTTAGTAGGTGGAAGCAGTCACTGGGTCGACACAACACGAAATCGTGAGGCGGGATATTGTAAACGAGTGGATGCGCATGGGTCATGCGACTCCATTGAAAACAAAAAAGCAGGGTAGCCGGATAACATGTGACGATGTAAACACATGCAAAACGGAGGGCAGCTTTCTCAGTTTCGAAAACCGGTGTTAGACGGAGCTCGGATTACACGGCAGAGAAGACATCATAAATTAAAGTAAAACGCTGGGTTTATTTCTGCAGCAAATCCCACTGGCTTTTTGCTCTGATGGTTACGGGTGGACGCATCCAATTGAGTGATAAATTAACGCGAGTGTATCGAATGACCGACATAAGCAACGGATTCCAAAGTAGGGACGTGGGCAAACTGGTGAACAAGTGCTGTGGTAGACAGTGTGTGGACGGGACAAAGTTGCATGTCTGGGAGAAGAGATTAAGAGATTAATTTCAACAGAATACGATGGCGTATCTGCCGAACACAGTAACGGGATACCAAACGGGTTGAGGTAACGAAGAAAAATGAGTGGCCTAATTGAAATGTGTCAGCTACCTCTAGTAAATCGTAAATAAAATGTAACTCAACAGAACAACAGGAGCGAGGACGAGAATAGGAGAGCGGCGAAAACCACTGTGACGGTTCACCATTACTGGCCTGAGATTACAACCAACGTGGTAATCTGGCATTCAGATTTACTTGCGAAAGAACGACCACCAATTCTCCCATGAAAACGGTACGATGACAAGCAGTAATACGCAGTAGTGTGAACACAAATAAGCTCACACGCCCATGCCTAAGTCCGTATCGATCGGCAGTGTTGACGATCGTGCGCAAGATGAGCAGAGAGGAAATGTGTGCGAGATGAATTCACCGAACCGACATGAGTGTCCAGATCAAAGGTCAGAACTCAGCATTCGCGCTATCCTGACAGAAATTTCGTGCAGATGCTAAACGCTAGAGTGGTTAGGAAATGAAATAAGGGGATACAACGGAGTGTTCGCTGAGCTCGGCAGGTTGGCTGCAAACGTTTCGTCACCACTCGAGGTGACATCGTCAGCGCGCGTGTAATTAGCAGAGTGACGCTTACGAAGTGTCCATAAGTGTGAGTGATCGATCTCCTAGCCGCTAGTCAGAGTTTGGATTGTTCGACAAGCACATAACCATCAAAATTGATCTCTGATTCTCACCTCGTATGGTACGCGCGTGTGCCCATCCGGTTGTCGTCGTTTGATGCAGTAGTCTGGCGTTCCGTTCCGTTAAATTTATTCTACTAATTCGGTGATTTTTATCCGTAGTGCTGTATATATAGCATCTATTTCAACGTGCCGGTTTACTGAATTGTCGGTAGAATACCATGCTTCCAAGAATTCTCTAGTTTGCCTCGAATTTCCACGGGTTAGGATCTTAACGTTCTCTAGGTCGAAGTGGTGGCCTTCTTGGTCTTCATGCATGGAAATCAGTGAATGCGGGTCGTATCTCCGTATGGCCATTCTGTGTTCGTTGATCCATGTTGACACTTTCCTTCCAGTTTGCCCTATGTAGTGTTCGTCACTCTTTGCAGTTACTTTTGTAGATGACATCATTCTGACTGCCTTGTTTAACTTTGTACTTCGGTCTTGAAAGCAATGTTCGCAAAGTACTAGATGGTTTGTGGGCTTCCAAGATTCTATGTGGTCGTAGCAATCTTGACATTAGTTCAAATACATTCTTGATGTAAGGAAGCACTACCCATTTAGCTATGTTTTCCAGCTGTTGTCGCTGCACCCCCTTCTTTAGGATTCTTCTGACGAAGTTTCTTGGATACCCATTGTTTTACAACACCCGGTATAGATGGTTCTCTTCCTTCTTCCCCAATTCTGTCGTGCTGCAGTGTGTTTCGGCCCTATTGAAAAGGTTTTCAATGCAGCTTTTCTTGTTGTTCAGTGGATGGTTGCTGTGGTAGTTTAATATTTGGTCTGTGTGGGTCTTCTTTCGATATACACACGTCTGAAATGTTCCGCCAGTGTTTCTTTGGTCCAAAGAAACACTTCTGACACCAGTTGCAAGTCGAACGCAGTACCAGAGAGCGTTAACGTAGCGTTACAACCAACGAGACACACGCGTTGTGAGCAACATTTTCGGAACAATCAACCAGCTACATTTTGTCTCAGAAGCTCCAGTAGTTTATCAATACAGAGCAGAGTTGCGGTTACGCTTTCTTTGTAACACAATCTGACCTTAAAAATGGCATCAACAGTAAGCTGGCACACTATACCAATGCTTCGCTGCCACACGACCACCACCGGTCGCGAGTTGGCTGAATATACAGCTTAAACGCTTGCACCTACGCGGATTCGAACCAGTGACCTTCGGAGCAAAAGAATTAATTGTTCAGACCCCCATCCTATTTGTTCACCGGCTTTCAGTTTAGCACTCGTACATGCAACAAGTATGCACATGTACGCTCACTTGAGAAGAAAAGGAACTGGAAAAAAGCAAACACTGAGTCATGTGATAAGAGATCGGCATTGGAGTGGTCAAATAGCAACGGCATTTGAAAACAAGTGCATACAGTACTCACGCGCTCCTGCCTGATATGCCGCAAGTCTGGCATGCTGTTCTTTTTCTTTACGATCCAGTTCAGCAGCACGCGCTTCCAACTCCGCCTGACGTCGCTCAAGCGCCAAAATGGCATCGTTATTCAACATGGAAGTGGCAGAAAAAGGAGGCAACTGAGCCGGGGGTGGCACGGATCCACCCAAATTACCACCTTCCTTCTCGTTCACTGCAGTATCCGGTACAGATTCCATAGGTGGCGCACCGTAGCGAAAGCCTTTGGGACAGATAGGAAAAAGTATTTAGATAAACACTACCAACAAGCGGCAATATATTATAATGCAAAGGATTATCTGGGGAATGATGTACAAGGGAGAACGGGTACAGTAACTGATAATCGCGCAAGATACAGCGCATTGGTTGCGTAATTCGACGCAATCAAGCGGAAGTCGGACTTCAGCAAAACGAAAAAACAAGATTCTCTTTCACTTATAAGCACAACACGACCAGATATTGACTCGTCAGCGTGGCTGAAGGGGTGGCCTATAAACACATAAGTAACCAAGCAAAATAACCAACATGGTGAGCACCGTGTGAATTACAAACCGCAGCATCATTTTCAGTTCGGTCTTTATGAAAATCCAACTCAGAAAATAATGGTAGTTCGAGTAATGAATTGTAATGAACTCCGTTGTCATCATTCGTGCAGTCATGTGAACTGTGGCTGTGGTAGGGGAAATGTAAATACAAGAAAAGCTAAATGTTAACGGGCCTCGTTCACAGAAGCCGCTGGTAGCCTCAGTTCGGAGTAACCCAGCTCGAAGCTTATTGACAAGGGTCAAGTCAATGAGAGCGTCGTTCTGTTGGAGTCGGCCAATGACGGCAATTTTCCTTTGGAATCAGTCAATGAAGAGATTTGATTGCCTCGGGTAATCTTCCGTAGCGTCAAACCTTGAGCTAGGTTATCTTTTTGGAACAATACAATCAAACTCATTTTGAGTGTGGACAACGCTGTAGTTTCCGGGGTTTAATTGAAAGTTTTAGTGAGTCCTCTGTCTTGGGATTTGGGAAGTGGTTGGTAAGCGATCTGAATAGCTGCATCGTTTGTCCGTTGGTGAGATAACATAAGCAGAAAAACGGAAAGCTAGGATCGGCTGATTAAACGTACAAGGCCGCAGTGAGAGCCGTCCTACTCGATGGGAGTGAGACCTGGCCCGTTCGGTCTGAGGCGCCTCCAAGTCCTTGATCATCAATGGTCGGGTGGCAACAACGTGTCCGCAACAATTACGTGCGTAGGCGAGTACTTAGCAGTGATAACCAAGCTTGGTCCTTAGAACAACAGACAGCACTGAATAAGTTGCGTTGACTTTGGCACGTACTACGTATGCCTGGTCATCGCTTACCGCCGAGTGTCTTGTTTGGTCTGTCAGATGTGAGGTGGCGCAAGGCTCGAAATGGACAAAAGTTGACTTGGTAGCATGAAATGAAGCCACTGACGACCAAACTCGGTGCCGTTCAACCGTCTGTTTCGCCTCACATGTAGCAGTCCACGTGACCCGCCTTACGCTTGGCTCGAGACTTTACAGGACATGGCTCGCAGTAGACACCAGTGCCGCGTCTCCTGCCATCTCCTAGTTGGACTGTGTATTTGGTGCAGAGTTATCCGAGGGGTAATAACTGATTATGACGCGCGGCAGTGAAAGCCGCAAGGAAGCTGTCTCACCAATGCCGCCTCATCTTTGCACGACAGCCAGCTGTTTGTGATGTATGTTGCTAACACAAGATGTGGGCGCCTTGACCCTGAATGTTACCTTAAAGCATTAAAGTTTTCCGGTAAGTCCACCTTCTCCCCCTCTTATTATTCTTCGTTCCGTAGGTTCTCATGGTTATATTACAGAGAAGCAACAGTTCAAAAGGCGGATATACTGCTGTTGACGACGATGATTCGTTATATCAAGAAGTGTATGAAACCAAACGTGGTCATCGCACTTCGGACCCCAGTGAGAGCCATCAGCGGTACGCAGTACCGAGGTTTGAATGCCACGCAATCACGACCAGCTGCTCAAGGTATAAGAATACTGTCAAGATAGCCCGGTCCCCTAAGCAGCCTCGAAACCGCGACCTCCGAGTTACAAGGTAGAGACCTTATCCTTTTGGCCACGGGCCCGATCCCAGTCCGGCATTCGAGCGGCACCGAACGACGTGAACTCCGAAGTGAAGGATTTCATTTCCCTTGACCAAGTCATCGCTTGGCCACCCCACCTCTTTTTCCATTCACACCTTCGGGGCGCAAACAATGCATGACGCGGGAGTCGGTGGGCTGGCAAGCGCAACACGCGGCCTAGCCATCGGAGCCTGATGCGTGATATAATAGTGCCGAGCGGTTCACTCGCTCTTCCTGCGCCAAATACACGATGCCGAACACGCTCATTGCTCACGCAATGTTCCCACCAGGCATGAGCTAAGCTTCAAATGCATCGAAGGTCGAGTGTAACTAACTTCTTTAGGTCTGTCGAACTGATGGGCCAGGTTTCGCACCCGTACAAAAGGGTTGAACGCACGGCTGCATGGTAAATTCTGCTTTCCAGTGCGAGAGTGAGTTCGCGCCGGCGCCACAGGTGGCAAAAAGGCTTCGAGTTTTCGCTATACGGTTCGTGATCTGCTCTTTATTTCTACAGAATTTAATATAGCTGTTTAGAAACCCGAATTTCTGGACGACAGCTAAGAGGTGGGTCCATGACAATTATGGAAAAGGACTTTGAGTTTCAAGGATGCAAAGCATAGCTCAAAACAACTGACAGCCAGTGTTTATTTGTCCAGTACTACTTGGCATGTTTGGGAGCAATCGTAGGTTAGGGAAATGTTGTTGGCATATCAAGTCGAGAAATCGATAATCTGAAAGTAGCTCCACACGTTGTAGGTCGTGTCCAGTGAAGGCCGTTTCCGTGACTTCGTCGATGACGAAGTTGAAGAGGAAAGGTGACCGCGGGCATCATTGTCTCATATCGCTGGAGATATTAAACGGCGGCAACAGTTAGCCATAAACTCGCACTCTGCCCGAACTATGCACGTACAGTGTTCCTATGACAGTAACATACTTATCGGGCATAAACTGCAAGAACAGACAGTCCAAAGGAGACACCGACCCACATAGGCATTTTTGATAGCGAGGAACGCGACTACGGTGGGTGGCCCATCAATACGGCGGTGTCCCAACAATCGATGTAATGTTAAGATGTGCTCAAGATAGGCCCGATTTCGACAAAACTCGGTTTGCTCCTAGCGTATCTGACCTTCATAGGTGCCATAGTTTGTGGTAAACAATAGAGGCAATCGAGATCAGACTGATTCATCTATGCTTGCTGCATTCCGAACGTGAGTCACCCTAGAAAATTGAATCTATAACATCATTCATCATTATTATACACGTTAGCTAGAGGTGGGAAACACCTCAGCTACTGTGCCGCAATGCCAAAAGAAAAAAGGGAATAAAATGCAACAGGTGCAAGCCAGCTGAGCTACCGGTAACGGATGGGCATCGTTCCGGTAAGCTACCAGCCGGCTACCATGTAGCAAAAATAATTACTATGCAAAATTATATAAGGCTATATAGTGAGATCGTGCTTGGAGGGGGAGGCTAAGAGGGATGAGGTGGGACAAAGAAACTCACAGCACGAACGCCACTGAGGTCGGCTCCTAGCCATATCAACAAGTGTATCCAGCCAAACATGTTCATCGTCTTTCGGATCCCAACCAGGGAGCCGAGACTTCCCAACCGAGGCCAACTTCGAAGTGACAGCCTTCATTGCTCTCGATCAAGTCATCGCTTCGCCAACCCTCCTCTTCTTTCATACACATCCCCAGTGAGCAAACAACGCACGTCGCGGGAATCGGTGGGCTGGCATGCGTAACACGTGGCCCAGCCATCGGAGCCTGGTGCGTGAAATAACGGTGCTAAGCGGTTCATTTCCTTTTCCTGTGTCGTAAACAATGCGTCGAACACGCTCGTTGCTCACGCGGTGTTCCTACCAGATGTGAGCCAAACTGCGAAGGCACCGGGGATCGAACGGCTGGCTTGCCGAACAACCTCCTCGTGGTGCCAGATGGGTGGCTCGGGATTTTTCCGTTCCAGCAAATGGTTCGGCGACAGTGTTCCAGGACGTGGTGGGTTTTCGCCTGGCAAGTGTTCTCCCTATAAAAGGCCACATATGTTCGTTTAACAACACTGTGACTGGCGGACGTGACTGACCACTAAATAAATTCACTGCTCTTTGCTTCATCCCGGCGAAGCATAATATTCCAGCAACTTTATGTTTTAATTCTGGGGAACAATGGGCCCCTGGTTGACAAAGGAACAAACGAAATGTGTTTGCACTGAGCAATCACTCATCAGCTCCCAATGGGCGCGATTTCCTGAATTCGCTCCGCTGCGTTGCGGGCAAGCTATTCAGCCAAACGCTCGGGTTGGTGTCCCCTAAATCAACACCTTACATCGGCTTGGGCAACTAGGTAGTATCTCGCCCTCTGACGAAACCATGAACTTTGATGCGTTGTGTTGCGTTTTCCTTTACTATTTCTGTATCTTCTTTTGAGTCCCATGGTTT